CGGACATGTGCCTGATCCTGAACGGAAGTGTGACTTCCTGTTCATGGGTTGACACTCAACCACTGAGCCATACCTGGCTGGACACTTCTTTTTTCTTTTTCTCCTTTGCTTCTCTTTCGCCTCTTTTTTTTTGGCATGTAACAGGCACACCTTGCCTTTATAGTACCACCAGAGGCCCAGTGCGTGAAATGCGGGCACTGGTAGGGCCCCTAGTGGCTGCCAGCTGCCACTGGTGGAACTCCCAAGCGACTTCCTGGTCCAGGGGACAATTTGTATACTACGCTTCTATTATATAGGATGCTGTCTTTTCACGTAAGTGTAATGAAAAGCTCAAAGTGTTTCCTCAATTCTCGACTTCATGAAAACCAGAAGCATCGTGAATGAGGACGTGTCAGCTTAATTTCCTGCCTTTGGCCCTCACTGACTCATTATTTGTATTGAATGTGTGACTCCAAGGAGATCCCGTCTAGGGGGAAGCCTCATTTCCTGGCGCCCCTGCCCGGGGCTGACACCGTGCGTGGGTCCTCCGGTGTCTCCCAGCTGACCTTGACATTGCTGTCAGCGGCGCAGGCCGGAGTGCCACGCTGTGACCACATCTGGCCTGGCTCCTGCCTCACCCTCCAGGCTCACCTCTCATCCTGCTGACATGGGTGCACACCGCCTGTTTCTCATCTCCGTGCCCCTGGCCATCCTGCTGCTCGGACTGCCCTCCCCCTGCTCACTGGCCGGCTGCTCAGGCTTTCAGACTCAGAGAAACATCTCTTTTCAGGGAGCGCCCCTGGCCCAACCCCTTTTGGGTCAAATACCCCTGCCGGGGTTCCCAAAGTCTGTGCTAAGCCACTTTTCAGCTGAACTGGATGACATACATTTAACTAATGAGAATTCAACCATTTCTGCTTGGCTGAAGAGGAAGGAAGAACATAACATCTTATTTATTTATTATAGGAAAAGATGGAAATTTATTGAGAAACAAGCAGACTCCCTTGTGGGGAGGGGAAGAGTCCCTGACAACATTTTAAACGGGCTGCCCTGGGCCTGGGGAGCACTGGCCAGAGAGAGGGAGACGGAAGCCTCTCGAATCTCAGTCCTCAGGTCTTTTTTTTTTTTTTTTAATATATTTTATTGATTTTGTGCAGAGAGAAAGGGAGATAGAGAGTTAGAAACATCAATGAGAGAGAGTCATCGATCAGCTGCCTCTTGCACACCCCCTACTGGGGATATGCCCACAACCAAGGTACATGCCCTTGACCGGAATCGAACCTGGGACCCTTCAGTCCCCAAGCCGACGCTCTATCCATTGAGCCAAACCGGTTTCGGCAGTCCTCAGGTCTTTAAGGTGGGAACGTGACCTCCCCGGAGATGAGTCCGGTGTTGAAAGACGGGCGTTTCACAGCAGGAAACGTCCCAGACGGTTCACATGGTGAGGACAAAAGAGAAAAAGTAAAACAGGATATACCCGTTACAAGGGCTTATGCATTAGAAAGTTTTAAAATCCGGGTTCAAATCCCAGTTCTGCAGTCCAGCTGGGGTACTTTGGTCAAGTCCCTGTTACCTGTTTAGACTTCAAATCTCAGGAGTGCCTGCCCATCTTACCGGGCTACCCTGAGGTGGAAATTAGGTAACAAATGTAATGGAACAACGGGGCAGATTCTCAGGAGTAGGTCATGTTGCTCCAACACCTATGGATCCAGCTCCCTCCTCAGAGCCCTGCACCAAGGGCCTCCGCCCCCCGCTGGCCAGCCTCTGGGCAGGGCCCGGGCACAGGCGGCAGAGGAGGAACAAGGAAGGCTTCCAGGGGAGGGAGCCTTTCCGGCGTCCCAGGCCCAGAGTCCCCTGAGCTCAGCCCAGCTGGGATACGGGATGCCTCCAGTGCTCCAACAGCCTCCCCTGGTGTAGCAGAACCCCCGGGGCATTTAGGAACTGGTCACTATGTGTTTCTAGGGCTTTGCTCGCAACACCTCCTCTGCCCCCTAACCTCCTATGGCACCGGCACAGCACCCCTCTTTCCCAATGGCATCAGCTGGGCCTCCGTCCACCTTCCTGCAGACAGCCGTCTCCTGCAGCGCAGGACGCGCCTGCTGCCCTCGGAGGCCGAGCCCAGCCCGGCTGCTCGGAGCTCGGAGCCAGAGGCAGGAAGGCGCCGGAGTCCTCCACTCCCGGGTCCGCGTCGATGATGCAGGAGCCCCGCACCTCCCCGCCGCCCCGGCCTTCTCATCGCTGCTGCCGGGACTCGGCTCGGTGCCGCACGGTCCGGGGCAGCTTTCCCACAGAGCAGGCCCACGGTCAGCACTGTACGTGCAAACCCGGTGCTGGCACTCCGACCGCCGCCCAGGGCCTTCGCCGGCTCTTCCGGGGGTGCCCGCGTGCTCCGGGCGCCGGGAACCTGCCGCCCGCCCGCCCGGACCTGTCGGACCCGCCAGCCCTTCCCGGCCCAGAGCCGCCCCCCGGGCCGGGGCAGGACCAGGTCTCTCCTAGCAACAGCAGCCGGCCGGCTCCCTCGGCCGCGCTGATTGGCCGGGCTCCGGGAGGCAGCGGTGTCGTCACTTCCGGCCCCCGGAGGCAGCAGAGGAAGCCGTCGGGCGGCCATCTTGAGTCTGTGAGGCTCTGAGGTGCGGGCTGCGGCGGCGGCGCCGGCGGCCAGCAGGCGGAGGCTGAGGCGGAAAGCGAAGCCGGAGCGAGACGAGCAGCTGGGCGCAGGCGCCGCCTCCACAGTCCCGTCCATGGTCGGCGCCCGCAGGCCGCGGCGGCCTGTCTCGCGCTCCGTCTCCTGCACATCCTCCTCCGCCTTCTCGGGGGCCGCCGGCGGCGCGGTGTGGAGGCCCGGGCACTGAAACCCGCGGAGCGACGGGCGGAGGCGGCGGCGAGGGGCTCCGGGCCCACGGGGCGCCCTCACGCGCGGGGGCGCCAGCGCCCGCAGTCCGCTGCCGCCGGCCCGGCCCCGCCACCGCCGCCCGCCGGGCTCCTCGGCGCGGCCCCGGGCCGGGGAGCATGAGCGCCGGGACCCTCCGGGGGACGCCCGGGACCGGGCCCGGGATCTAGGCGGCGTGGGGGAGGGGAGCCGCTCCGGGACGCCGTCGCCGGCCGGGCCGGCTGTGTTTCCTCCTCGCGCTGCGCGGCCCCGAAGCGAAGGAAGATGTCCACGAGGACCCCGCTGCCCACGGTGAATGAACGGGACGCTGAGAACGTGAGTAACCGGGCGCTCCGCTGTTCCCGGCCGCGGCGCCCGCAGAGGAGGGTGGGCAGCAGGCCGGCCGGCGCCGTTTCCTGGGAGGGGAGGACCCGGGCCGGGCCGCCGGAGCGCGCCCGGGGCCGCAGCCCTGCCCGCCCGCCCGCCCGCCGGGGTCCCAGGCCGCGGGGGACCCGGTGCGCGCCCCATCTCTGCCGGGCTGAGCGCACCCAGCTCCTTTAAGTGGGCGGGCAGCTCTGAGGGGCTGCCCGCTGATGGTCCCGAGGAAAAGGAGCCGATCGGGCCCAGCGGAGCCCTTTGTGCCTCGTTCTCTCACGTTGTCCGGGTCCCTCACACCGAGTGCCGCCGCGGCCCGGCGCTGGGCGCTGGGCGCTGGGCGAGAAGGTCCCCGGAGGGCGGCGCGGGCGCCGGGCCGGAGCCCCGGGAGGCAGGTGTGCGGCCAGGCTGCTTAATTCCCGAAGGGGGGGGGGGGGCTCGCATCGGTTTTGTTCACGACCCCATTTGAAAAGGCGGCGAGCAGCGTTTTTAGGGAATGACACTTGGGGCAGTTTCCGAACTCCCCTCTCGGGGTTCAGAACTGCCCCAGCCTAGCTGCGTGGGTTCTGTACCGCATCGCCGCCAAAGTCACCCGGAAAGAAACTGCACCGGGTCCCACTGTCATCACGTAGGAAAAAGCTTTGGTCCTGCTCGTGTGCTCCTGATTCCGGTAACGTCCCCGGGACCCTGGGCACCAGGTCAGATGCCTTCACTGTCAGTGCCGCCCGTTTACTGGGTGGCTGGCAGGTGACCCGCTCCGGGCACTAGAGCAGCAGGATGTGAACGTGTGGTGGTCCAGGCGCTCTAACCAGGCCGGTCATTGGTACCTTGACACCTTCTTTACCTGGGACCGGTTAGGAGATTCCATGAAGAGCCACAGAAAGGGGTAAGACTAAGCGAGTCAGTGAGTTCATTTTCTTGTAGACCTTTTGAACCGATTTCTGACTTGATCAGCCTGTTCTTTGACTGCTCTTTGTTGAACAAGCAAAAAAGTGAGTTAGTGTTATTGACTTGCATTCAGAGAAGCAAAATATTACATTGGGCTAGAGCAAGTGCTCCGTACTTTCTAAATAAACTGAAGCCAAATATGTATCATCATCATCACCATCACAGACTTGTGATAATGAAGGGTTTACACCCAGTGAGTCTTTTGCTCCTTCTCTGCTGAATTTGTTGAATTATGCTGTAATTTTTTTGTGTCATTACAAATTGCTAACTTTGTTATTTTTTTTAATTTATTTTTTAAAATAGATTTTTATTGATTTCAGAGAGGAAGAGAGAGTGATAGAAACATCAATGATGAGAGAGATTCATTGATTGGCTGCCTCCTGCACACCCCCTACTGGGGATCAAGCCCGCAACTTGGGCATGTGCCCTTGACAGGAATTGAACCTGGGACCCTTCAGTCCAAAGGCTGATGCTCTGTCCACTCGTACAAACCAGCTAGAGTGCTAACTTTATTCTTTAAAAACAATAGAGTATGAAGAGTGCCTTTATTCTCATGGAATGTATTTAAAATCAAATTTTTGACAGTGTTACAATCAGGATTGTAGCACGTCATGTGTTAATTTATCATGCCCTGTTCCATTTTTAACTCGGGTATTGGCATGTTCTGGAAGTACTTGGGTGTCTTTTACAGTGCAGTGCCCTTGTGTCAGTGTTATACACCTGGCATATACCATATTATTTACCCTCTGTCACTGAACTGCTGCTAAATATTAGACTTCTTGCCAGTTGAGTAATGAGGGTACAGAATGAATGGGAGCCCTCAGTCTGTTGAGCAGCTCATTTGCTAACGTTAGGTTTATTGAGGTAGATCATACACTCTTATGTATAGTTTGATGAATTTTTTTTCAATTAGCAATAATTGCACCTTGGATAAACCTCATTGGCTACGATATTGCCACTCTGCAAAGCTAGTTTAATGTATTTTGACAAATGCATAGCCATGTAACCACTATCACAGACAAGATATAGCTTTTCCTTTGCCCCAAAGTGTTGGGTTTTTTTTAATTGATTTTTTACAGAGAGGAGGAGAGAGCGATAGAGAGCTAGAAATGTTGATGAGAGAGAAACAACCAGCTGCCTCTTGCATACCCCTTACCGTGTATGTGCACAACCAATGTACATGCCCTTGACCAGAATCGAACCTGGGACCTTTCAGTCCGCAGACCGACGCTCTATCCACTGAGCCAAACCGGTTTTGGCCCAAAGTGTTCTTTATGGCCCTTTACAGTCAATCCCCTCTGCCTTTCTCTAGCCCCTGGCAACCATTGATCTGTTATTTGTCCTTACAGTCTTACTTTTTTTTACAATCATATATAATAAAAGGCTAATATGCAAATAGACCAAATGGCAGAACAACCAGTCCCTATGCGATGCACTGACCACCAAGGGGCAGATGCTCAACTCAGAATCAGATGCCCAAATTAAATGTATTGGGGTAACACTGGGTAATAACATTATATAAATTCCAGTAATGAAACTTTACAGCATGACATCTGTATTCTCCACTATGTGCTCACCTCTGGAAGTCTAGTCTTCTTCCATTTCCATATAGTTGACCTCCTTTACCCTCATTATCTACCTACCCAACTTCCCCTCTGATAACCACCATTCTGTTGTCTGTGTCTTATGAGTTTGTTTGTTCATTTGTTGCTTTTTGTTTTATATCCCACATGAAATTATATGATTCTTATCCTTTTCCTTCTGACTTAGTTCACTTAGCATAATCCTTTTTTTTTTTAAATATATTTTTATTGATTTTTTACAGAGAGGAAGGGAGAGAGCTAGAGAACTAGAAACGTCGATGAGAAACATCGACCAGCTGCCTCTTGCACACCCCCTACCAGGGATGTGCCCGCAACCAACGTACATGCCCCTGACCGGAATCGAACCTGGGACCTTTCAGTCAGCAGACCGATGCTCTACCACTGAGCCAAACCGGTTTCGGTTTAGCATAATCCTTTAAGATACATCCATGTTGTTGCAAATTTATTTAAATTTTAAATAATTTTAAATAATTACATAAATTGATTAAGAATAATAAAAGTCGCTGAAACCGGTTTGGCTCAATTGTAGAGAGTCTGTATGCAGACTGAAAGGTTCCAGGTTCAATTCTGGTCAGGGGCATGTACGTTGGTTGCGGGCACATCCCCGACGGGGTGTGTAAGAGGCAGCTGCTTGATGTTTCTCTCTCATCGATGTTTCTAGCTCTTTTATCTCTCTCCCTTCCTCTCTGTGGAAAATCAATAAAATATATTTTTTTAAAAAGAATAATAAAAGGCAGATAATTTGTTATGAAAACATTATCTTCATTCTTGTCTACTATATTTTCTTTTTCTTTTTTTTTAGCTTTTGTTTTTTATTAAACCTCACCCGAGGATATTTTTCCATTGATTTTTTTCTTTTTTTTCTTTTATGGAGAGTGGAAGAGAGAGGGAAAGACAGAGAGAAACATTGATGTGAGAGAAACACATCTATTGGTTACCCCCTGCACAAGTCCTGACAAGGGCCTGAGCTGGGGAGAGCCTGCAACCAAGGTATGTCCCCGTGACTGGAATGAACCTGGAACCCTTTGGTCTGCAGGCTGATGTTCTGTCCACTGAGCCAAACAGGCTAGGGTTTAATTTTTTTTTAAATGTGAATATCCACTTTGTAGCTCACAGGACTAGTCAGGCAATCTGATGTAGTGAGGATGCTGAGGCTCAGATAGGTGACCGAGCTGCTTATGACCTCTGACTTTAGTAGCAGAACCTTTACTGAGTCCTAGTTTTCCAGCTCAGTCCCCTCTGCTTTGTTGTATATCAGGCTATTTCCCAAAAAGCTTATGTACTAACTAGAGGCAACGGTGCACGAAATTCGTGCACAGGTAGAGTTCGTAGGCCTAGCTGGCTATCAGGGCCAATTGGGGCCTTCCTTCCTTTTGTACCACCCCCTGGTAGCGAGTGATCAAACTTCAGTCTCCCAGTGGAACTCCTGAGGGGACACTTTGCATATTAGCCTTTTATAGATAGATAGATAGATAGATAGGAAGATAGATAGATAGATTATTTAATTAGAAAGATATAGTTGTACCAATACAGAGTATAATTAAGACTTAAAAGTGTTTTGTTGCCCTGGCTGGTGGTGTTCAGTTGGTTGGGGCATTGTCTCATACTCAGAAATTGTATTCTAGGTTTGATTCTAGGTCAGGTTGAGGGTTCGATCCCCCATCTGAGTTTGGGAGGCAACTGATTAATGTTTTTCTCTCCCTTTCCCTTTCTCTCTAAAATTAATAAAAACATATTCTCTAGTGAGAATGAGGAAAAAAGTTTTGTTATGGAAAATTTCAAACAAGTAAGTAGAGCAAGTTTAATAAATATTTGTCAATGATTGTCTTCTGGGGACAGTTTGGCCCTCCAGTGGATGTTTGACAGTGTCTGGAGACACTTGTAGTTGTCACACTGCAGAGGGTTGCTAGTGACCAGGAATGCTGCTAAACATTTTACAATACACAAGATAGTATCCCTTTTCTCTAGCAAAGAACTCCCTAGTCCAAAATGTCAGTTGTGCCAGGATTGAGAAATCCTGGTATGCAGTTAGCCCCCCATGTACTCAGTGGCCAGTCTTTTAAAAAAAAAAAAAAAAAAAAAAAAATTTTATTGATTTCAGAGAGGGAGAGGGATAGAGATATAGAAACATCAGTGATGAGAGAGAATCATTGGTTGGCTGCCTCCTGCCAACTGAGGATTGAGCCTGCGATGGGGCAGGTTCCCTTGACCTGAATTGAACCTGGGACCCTTCATTCTGCAGGTCAACACTATCCACTAAGCCAAACCAGCTAGGGCATCAATGCCAGCCTTAATTTCATTTGTTCTCTCCCCAAGAAACAAATTCAATACATTTTATCATTTCATCTCTAAAGCTTTTAGAAAAAATAAAGCTTATTTTTAAAAATAATCATAATCCAGTTATCATAATTTCTTAATATCAAATATCTAGTCAGTGTTCAAATTTCCTCAATTGTCTACTTTATAAACACTATTCAAATTAGAATCCATGTTTGGTCCATCAATTATAGTTGGCTAAGATGTGAAATAAGATGTTCTTTTAATTAATTAATTAATTAATTATTTTAAAGAGAAGAAGGGAAAGGTATAGAGAGAAATATCATCAGTAGGCTGCCTCCTTCAGGTGCCCTACTGGGGATAGAGCCCACAACCTGGGCATGTGCCCTGACTGGGAACCAAAGTGTCATATGACCTCTTGGTTCCTAGGTTGATATTAAACCATTGAGCCACACTGGCCAGGCTGAAATAAGATGCTTTTTAACGTCAATAAAAAGATTGTTTTTTAATTTATGTTCTACAATTGGTTTGTATAGACCCATGGACAAATCCTGTTTGTATACTGGTAAAACTAGAAATATATTTTTCACTTAAGTTTCAAAGTGTATGACACTTAGTAAGTTTGGGTTATTTGACAAAGTACCCAGGGGCTTTGCCAATTATTTAACAGCTCCCAGTATGTGTGCACCATGTACTTATTATTATTTAATACAATCATCATAATTTCTTATCTCTGAGAAATAGATAAACTGATGGTGTTATTGTCTAGCCAGCTATTGGTTATATGAGATTACTATTAACCTGTTCACATTTAAGTACCTACTCTGTGTATTATTACACTGTGCCATAAAGGATATACCTAGGAATCATATTGCTCTTTCGGACTTCCAGTTCCTGTTGATCAAAGTACCCTCAGCTAAACTCAAACCGGAGCAAACACCAGGATCACCTGGAGGGCTTGTTGAGGTACTGATTACTGGACCCACCCCCAGACCTTGATTCTACGTTTGGGCCCTTGAGTTTTCATTTCTTTTGTTAATCCTCACCCAACATTTTTTCTATTAATTTTTAGAGAGAGTGGAAGGGAGGACTAGAGATAGAGAGAAACATTGATGTTAAAGAGACATATCAATTAGGTACATACCCTTGACAGGAGTCAACCTGAGACCCTTCAGTTTGTGGGCCAACACCCTGACCACTGACCAAAATCAACTGCCTCCTGCACACCCCCCACTGGGGATGTGCCTGCAACCAAGGTACTTGCCCTTGATCGGAATCGAACCCGGAACCCTTCAGTCAACAGGCTTATGTTCTATACACTGAGCCTAACCGGTTTGGCCAGCCTGCAACCTTTTTGGTGTATGGGACAGTACTCCAGCCACCTGTGCCACCCAGCTGGGGCCAAGAATTAATATTTTTATTTGGTTAAAGTGTTTGGGAAAGATCTTACAGACTTCAAGTTGAGGGTCAGCTTCATTTCTTCTGTATGTAAATTTGGTGTAGGTGGAAATTTGTAGTGAGTAGAATATTAGCCATTTTGATTATTTGTGTAGCACATGATTATATTGTAATTATCAAACTTATACACAGTTTAATATAAAATAGTACCTGTTATTTTTAATTTCAAAGAGAATTCTTGGTGTAGTAAAATTTATCTGGAATTTGTGCCTAGGCTGGAATAAGGGTCAGGGAATGCAGCCTCTTCTGATGACCACTGGGAGAATTAAAACAAATGCACTATCTCACATCCACTTTAAACTTTCAGGTTAAACCTGAAGGAGAAAACACATCTCTTCCGGGGAATCTCCTAGTTTTAATGTTATCTTACACAAGAATTTAAAGTATGTGCTTGGGTTCGTCTGCCAGGGATTTGTGCTGACCATCTGCACCTGTGTGTGTAGTAATGGCAGGTCCCTGGAAGAAGAGGAGCCCAACTTTTCCTTCAAGGAGAGTGTTTAGGCCTGCAGGTTAGCCCCCGCGCTGCTCGCCGTGGTGAGTCTTGTGTAGTCTTACTAGACTACATAAGGCATTGTTTCTGTGGGTTATGTGGAATCTGGAAGCATTCATGGTTGCAGCTTGAACAAAAAGCTATTTTGCTTTGGGGTAGAAGCTAAATGTTGTGGGGTTGTATTAGGGACATTTTACATGAAAACCTCTCACTATTGAGAACTGGCCAAAACTAAGCCATATGCTACCTCTAGCTGCAGGATGTTTGGGAAAACAAGTATTTAACTGGCCATGTTGCCTCCCCCAAATACACCCAGCTTCTCTTAGAAAGGAAGAAGGAAGGAATGGATATTGAGTAGGTAACTACAGTGTTTGCTTTATTTCCTAATAATGGCAACTTAAAAGTTTTGCATTAAAGAGAAGTTTTAGTTTGAAATGAATACTTTATAAATTTGTTAATCCCATCTTTGGCTTGATTCTGCATCTAGTAGCAGGGTACATGTTCTAATTTTCTTGGTAGATGAAATGGTTATCGGCTCTATTCCATGGGAGTGAGAAGGATCAGGACTCCTTTACCTTTAAGAATTAAATTCAGCCAAAACTGGTTTGGCTCAGTGGATAGACCGTCGGCCTGCGGACTGAAGGATCCCGGGTTCGATTCTGTCAAATATATTTAAAAAATATGTTTTGTTGATTTTTTACAGAGAGGAAGGGAGAGAGCTAGAAACGTCGATGAGAGAGAAATATCGACCAGCTGCCTCTTGCACACCCCCTACTGGGGATGTGCCCGCAACCAATGTACATGCCCTTGACTGGAATCGAACCTGGGACTTTTCAGTACGCAGACCGACGCTCTACAAGCCAATCCGGCTTCGGCAATAAAATATATTTTTTAAAAGAATTAAATTCAACAGCTCAGTACCTGTTATGTTATTGGTGTGCCACAAAATGTTATAAAATGACTACTGAAGAATTATGTAACATTTTTGTGCCCTTGGGTTGATTATTGGCTCCTTAGGGAGAAAAAAAAAAATTCATGTATGAAATAACTGACTAATGGTACAATAATTCAAAATTAATTGTTAAAGTGTTAAGTGGCATATTTTAGTGTTGCTTTAATCTTTCCTTTGATCAACAAGACCTCATTTATAAATAGGCTATTTTCCCTACCTTCTAATTTGGAAATTAGAATCCTTTTTGTTACAGGAACATTGTTACAAATTGCTTAGATTTTTAAATAGTTTATAAACTTGTTTTACCTAAGACATATGTATAATAAAAACAGAGACATGTGGCCCTAGCTGATTTGGCTCAGTGGAGAGAGTGTTGGCCTGCAGAATGAAGGGTCCCAGGTTCAGTTTTGGTCAAGGACACATGCCTGGATTGCAGGCTCAATCTCCAGTAGGGAGTGTGCAGGAGGCAATCGATCAATGATTCTCTCTCATTGATGTTTCTTTCTCTCTCTTTCTCTTCTTTCCTCTCTAAAATCAATACAAATATTTAAATAACAAAAAAAAACATAGACACATGGGCAAATTTCTTCAAAGTGGTATATGCATTAGGATTAAAATTAGCCGAAACCGGTTTGGCTCAGTGGATAGAGCATTGGTCTGTGGACTGAAAGGTCCCAGGTTCGATTCTGTTCAAGGGCATGTACCTTGGTTGCGGGCACATCCCCAGTAGGGGGTATGCAAGAGGCAACTGGTCGATGTTTCTCTCTCATCGACGTTTCTGGCTCTCTATCCTTCTCCCTTCCTCTCTGAGAAAAATCAATAAAATATATTTTTTTAAAAATTAAAGTAGTAATGTTTTGTTTCTTCAGCAGAGGCATTTACAACTTGGTAGGTAACTGTGTTCCCATATCCTTATCTTTGTTTTGTGTATATTGTATTGTAGCACACGTCACATGGAGATGGTCGGCAAGAAGTGACCTCCCGCACCGGGCGCTCTGGAGCTCGGTGTAGAAACTCTATAGCTTCCTGTGCAGACGAACAGCCTCACATCGGAAACTACAGACTGTTGAAAACAATCGGCAAAGGGAATTTTGCAAAAGTGAAATTGGCAAGACACATCCTTACAGGCAGAGAGGTAAATGAGATTATGCTTAATTTCTGTTACACTTGCTCTGATTAGTTCCATAGGAGAGAAAGAGGAGGAGAGCAGATAGACTTGGGCTCCTTTCTAAGCTAAATAAACAATTTTTTTAAAGAACAAGAAACATTAATTATCTGGGAATTCTTTTGCTTTCCCATTTCTTTAGATGTAGTATATAGTATATTGATTGTTTGAATAATCTTTCACCTTTAAAAATAGGTAGGTAGTGTTTTGTAATAATATGAGTAGGTAGTGTTTTTAGTAATATCTGCCACATAGTAAAAATTGTTTTAAATGTCATATAAAATAAACACATGATACTTGCAAATCAATAGTGCTGTTTTGTTATAAATTTATCCTCAAGAAGTTGCTTGAAAAATCTTCCCAAATACTTTCCTCATAGCTTATGTTTGATGGGCTGTGGTGGAGGAAGGCATGTGCTTTCCTGTCTGGTGTGATATCAGCTTTCTGCTCAACCACTTTGCATATTTATCAAAAATACTTCTATCAGAACTACTAAATTAACTCCCTCCTCACGTTCTATCCTGCCTGCCTGCCTGATTGCCCATAAGCACTCTGCCTGCCTGCCTCATCACCCCTAACCCCTCTGCCTGCCTCATCACCCCTAACCCCTCTGCCAGCCTCATCACCCCTAACCACTCTGCCTGCCTGCCTCATCACCCCTAACCCCTCTGCCAGCCTCATCACCCCTAACCACTCTGCCTGCCTGCCTCATCACCCATAACCGTTTCTGCCTTTGCCCCGGCCGCCGCAGTGGCGGCTTCATCTGGAAGGATGCCCGGAATGACGTCCGGAAGGTCGTTCAGCTGTCCGGGCTAGTTAGCATATTATGCTTTTATTGTTATAGGTAACACTCTGCACCCTTGTTAAGAGTGTTTTTGTGAGATAAATTCCTAGGAGTGGAAATCCTGGGTCAAAGGGATTAATGTTTAGCATTATAGTAGGCATTTGGTTTTGAGAAAATGTCATATTATTTTAATAACTTACCAAAATGAATAATTTTAATTTTTCTAAACTCTTGCTAACACTGGTTATTATTTTTGTCTATAGGAAGGTGGTGAGATCAGTGTGTTATGGGGAGCTCTTCTTAACTCCACCAGTTGCTGGTGGGAGTGGGTTTCTTGCAAAATCATAGGAGAAGGAATTTTCTGAGATTCACACCAGAGAATGAGATAATTGGTGGAAAGCTTTGTTTCTGTGGAATTGCACCCCCGAGTTTCCAAGGTCCCATTTCCCTCAGTCCCACCTGGAAGAAGTGTAGCTGTGACTTCAGCAGAGCTAAGATTAAAGCCGTTGCCCAGTTTCCATTCGATATTGGGACACGGTCTAGTGCAACTTCACGCTAGCTTGGTTTGTGTTCCTACTGTGTTCATCAGCTCATTGCGTGCAGGGTCCATCCTCAGGGCCACATGGCTATGGAGGGTACATGGGCGAATGCAAGGAAGCAGGAGCAAAGCCACATGAAACAGAGAACCAAGAGCCAAGAAGAGCAAGAATTTCTTTTATTTTGGGATTACATATCCCCAAATTTTCACAGATCTCCATTGGCCCTGCCACTCTAGCCAGTGATCTCTGCTCCCAGGCTTGATTGACAGACACCTTCCCCGCGTCACCCTGACTCTACTGCACATGCGTCCATCTTCCTTTTATCCGGTCCCTCCCCCCAGTGAGCTGTGGAAAGTGACCCAGGGTTCCCTGGGGAGTGTGCCATTGCAGCTTCCTGGTGAAGCTACCCCAAATGGCCATGCTTATAATGTCTGCCCCCCTGCTCCTTTCCTATTATTATTAATAACTAGCTAATTACAAAGGTATCAAGTGGATTATAGCTCCTGGTGATTTCAGCATCCTAGAGCAAGTAAGTGGGAAAGGGAGACGGTGATTAGAGAGTGAAAAACTAAAAATTCAGATCACAAAGGGTTTTCAGATATTGGTAGTTCTAAAGACTGGATTATAGCAATATAAGTGGCTAACTTATGTGACTTTTTGTTTGTTTCCAGAAGCTTTTTAGACTCCTCATTTATGCTTGATGTACAGGAATTTCACAGGGAGGTGCCAAGGAGTTGGTCTTCATTCATTGTTCTTGGTGCTCATAGGACCCTTCCAATGTAGAGATTCTTGTTCTTCACTTCCGAAGAATTGTCTCATTTAAAAACCTTCATTTTGGAATTATAATTAACAAGAGACTGGAACTCTTGATTTTTCTTGTTATTTGATCTGTTTCCCATTCTGTATTTTTATTTTACTTTCTAGGAGATGTCTTTAATTTTATCATCTAGTCTTACATGATCATATCGATGCTTCCCTCTAATCCCAGCTTTCTTGTTCTCTGATTATTTGTCTTCATAGCATCCAGTTCTAAGTGTTGTGACAGATTTACCGTATTTTTCGGACCATAAGACGCACTTTTTCCCCCCCAGAAGTGGGGGGGAAAAGTCCCTGCGTCTTATGGTCCAAATATAGCCTACACATATACTTAAAAAAAAAAAAGGTTTTTTACTTGCCCGGCTCTGTGTGGTCTCTGTGTGCTTGCCCGGCTCTAAAATGGTTCTAAATGCTGCTGTTTACTTTACAGGGTTGATTACATGTGTTTATGACTGTGATGTTGGGTTTTAATGCACATAAAATATTTTAGGACACTATTTGTTTCAGAATCTTTTTTTCTTCATTTCCCTTCTCTAAAAACTGGTGCATCTTATGGTCCGGAGCGTCTTATGGTCCGAAAAATACGGTATTCTCATATTCTTCCCCCTCCCCACCCACTCTCCCCTTCCTCCCCCCTTATTCCCCCCCTCGTAGATTTTACTCCCTGCATCGTTTCTCTTTTTTCTGGCCGCCTTTCTTGGTGTCTCTTTTACATACAGACACTTTCTTTGTAATCTGTTCATCTCTGGTTGTCTGTCTGTATTTGCACGTGTAGGTTTATGTTTGCCCACACAGCTTTCCTGTGGGGAGTTCAATGCTTTTATTGGAGGACCCCAGGCTTGTTATCGAGCCTTTGGCTCTCCTCTCTGGGAACATTCAGTTTCCATAGATAAGATTCTTCATGTACTTCAGCTGCATCTGTCACGTGTGTGTGAGTTCTGGGTCATTGAAAGCAAAAATACTTTCCTGAATGAGCTTATCAATTATAAACTTCAAGAATAATACTGATTATAATAAAACCCCTGTATTTCTTCGGAAAGAAGAAAGGAAGGGAGGAAAAATCCTATGTTCTGCTTGGAAGGAGCCGGTGGTCCCACCCGTAAGTGGCTGCGCAACCCTTCATTCCACCTTTTTCATCTCCTCACTGCTCGCTGCTGGGACCTGAGTCCAGAGCCTTGTCTCTTTTCACAGAGTGCAGTGCTAGCTGCTTAGGAACCGTAGTTATTGATTGGTTTGGGGAGCAGCAGCCATTCTGTATGTAGACTTTTCACCTTGGAATTGCTCGTCAGCTCCCACATCACCTTTGGTTCCCTGGACCTCCCAAGTCTAACCCTTTCCGGTTGTGCTGGCAAATCCCATTGTTTCTGGCTATTGGTTTCCTCTGTGGTCTCTTTCAGAACATTATTGAAGTATCTTTCCTACTGTTGTCTTCTCAACTTATTCCTGTGCTTTTTATGCTGTCTGCCTTTCTGTCTGTCCTCCACATTCAACTGCAAGTGTCCTGTTTTCTACCCTAGAGGAAGCACCAGAGTGGGTGGGAGAAGGATTAGAACTTGAACCTCAATTACCTTTGGCCTCAATAAATATTTGTTGTTGATTCTAAGAATGATAAAATTATAATTCATCCCAGGATGTCTGAACTTCTTGAGATTTTACATAAATGACTATACATTTTATTTTTTTTATTTTACATTTTTGTTAATCTTCACCCAAGGAGATTTTTTCCATTAACTTTTAGTGGAAGGGAGAGGGAGAGACACAGAGAGAAACATTGATGTGAGAGAGACACATTGATTGGTTGCCTCCTGCACATACCCTGACCATGGTGCAACCTGACCAGGGTTGGAGATTGAGCCTGCAACCAAGGTATGTGCCCCCGATTGGAATCAAACCCGGGACCTTTCATTCTGTGTGCTGACACTCTGTCCGGTGAGCCAAACCATATAGGGCAATGGTTGGCAAACCGAGGTTCGCGATGCACATATGGCTCTTTGGCCCCTTGAGTGTGGCTCTTCCACAAAATACCACGTGTGGGCCCGCACGCACAGTGCGATTGAAATTTCGTGGCCCATGTGCAGAAATTGGTTTTCGGCCTGGGTGAGTTTATTTTGAAGAAGAGGCGTCAGAACACTCAAAGGGCCAAAGAGCCGCGTGTGGCTCGAGAGTCTCAGTTTTCCAACCACTGATCTAGGGCAGTGTTTCCCAAACTTTTGACATATGTGTACCCCTTCTATAATTTTCGTAACGCTGAGTACCCCTCAAACTCATGAGAACGTAGAATTAGGCGCAGCTAAGCACGGTGCAGTGCATATCCCCACCAAACTCTTCCCGTACCCCTGAGGGTACGCATACCACACTTTGGGAAACACTGATCTGGGGTAATAGTTATACATTTTAGTCACAACAATTTTTTTTTTTTCCTACCCATCAGCTGCCTCCTGCATGCCCCCTACTGGGGATGTGCCCGCAACCAAGGTACATTCCCTTGATCGGAATCTAACCTGGGGCCCTTCAGTTCACAGGTTGACGCTCTATCCACTGAGCCAAACCGGCTTCTATGCAAGTGAGTCTTGATAGCAGAGGTTTAGTTTCGTGGTGGAGGTGGGAGGAATGTGTAGTGGCAATCACCTCAGTCTGTGCTATTTAACAAACCTGTGAAATGTTACCTATGAAAACTTGGGTCTCTGTCCTTATTTGGTTGTGCATATACACGCGTGTGTGTATGTATATACTACTATAGTGTACCTGTGGATTTCTTCCTCTGCTCCACATTGCTCACTTTTTGTATATGTGTCTGGGTATGTCTTTCTGTGTCTGGGTATGTCTTTCTGAAGTCAACAATTTTTTTAGTGTGTGAAGAATACGTTAGCTTTAGAGAAAGTTTGGAGAAAAAATCCCAGTCATAATACCCTGAATACCATTGTTATCTTTGTATATTCTCCATATTTATATGTATGTTTTCTCAACATACTTTGGGTCACAATTTTGTATCCTGGCTTTCCGCCTCACAATTTTATTGCTGCATAACCATTAAAACTAAATGTCAGTGGTCTTGTGCAGCTCCATTGATTAACAACAGATCCCAAACTTTTGTTGTTGTTGTCAATCCTCACCTGAGGATAATTTTTCCATTAAGTTTTAGAGAGAGTGGAAGGGAGAGGGAGAGAGAGAGAAACATTGATTGGTTGCCTCCCACACCGCTC